AACAAATTTTTAAAAGAACTAATTTACAACTAACTATACTGTCGATTTAAAATTTCTGTAAAATAATTACGAGTTAGTTGAAAATTGATTTATTTAAAGTTAATTTGGACCTGTAAGGTTAAATGCTTTTATAAATTTGTACACCTTTATGATCGAAAGATCGTTTTAATCTTCGCAGAAACGTTCTTTCAAGTTAAAGTTGAGTTGGTAAAAATTAAACTCAAAGTAGAAATAATTTGCTATTAGGCTGAATAAACCAAAATTTACACACTTTAGTTGTCAATATTCAAATGTCTTGTACATTGCGTTGTCGATGACTTTCCAAACCTCTATACAACATTCAAATAACGTTTGTAAAACGAATATTTATAAACATATGTAATACAATCTGGCGTAATTTTAATGCCGACACTATCGAATGGAATCGTAATATGAAAGTGGGAACATAAATAGCTGAGCGGCGAGTGTACAGCCTTGAGGAACACCCAATGTAATTGATCTGATGGACTGGTGGGTCAGACACAGCCAACGCAAACCTACGTAGCCAATTAAACACGTACACTCCGCACTGTACACACATGTACGTACATAAACAACACACGTACACGATACATTCACACGACCATGTGTTGAATTATTGTTTGGGTTACTGGAAGCGAGGTTGAGGTTGATTTCGTGGAAATTACTTCATGTAAATCGTCTGTAGACTTTGTTTGGCATTTGGAATTGTTTTAATTGGGTTAACGTGTTGGATATTACTCTTAAAATATAAAATGATAAAAGTTGTGTACTTCTCGATCCCTATACCTATGTAGGCTACTTGATAAACTATCTTAAGTTGAAACTATCATAAGTCATTAAGTAAAATAGGTATAAAACCATATAAGAAGCCTAAATTATTTTTCATAGGATACTAAAATATTTCTTTGCTTTCCATAACTTGAAATATTTGTTGTCCCTTTTGTTTGGGGAAATAAGTAAATTTGGTAGACTAAGGCATTGTTGAATGCCACGAGAATGTTAACATGCAGTTTAGTTATAATGGTTGAGTCGACCGTTTTTTGTGTGCATATTTTGTGTTTTCTTCGCTCACAAATCTCGAATGTCTATTTAACTTTATTTTCGTGATAAAATAGATGAATCGCTGAAAATATAAAATGTTCAGAAAGGTTTATACTCCGTTCAGACAGCCGTGGCACCTGACGGATTAGGACACCCCATGGAAACCCTTGGGGCTTCCTAATCCCTCAGGTGCCACGGCTGTCTGAACGCACTATAGTACCTACCAGACCAAACTTATTAACTTTAACATAAGTTAGGCCTACAGGGTAAACTGTGTTGATCGCAACTTATTGTCTACATCCCTAGGAGACCCGAAAGTTGCACTTTTTCCACAAAAGCTGCGGGTTAAACTATGTGAACAATGTAAATCGTAAGTTGTCCGCTGTCGAGCCCAGAACACTCCCACCTATCCACATAAGTTACGAGGTAATGCGCAATTAACGTATTTATGGGATCTGTCAGGCGCGCGCCGGGATTCTTACACGCCATTTGTATGGAAATACTCCTCCTTACAAGTCCGGCCGAGCCCTAATTAATAGCTGGGATTTATTGACGTGACAGTGGGAAATGGAATTTAAATATTCTGTATGGGGTTACGCGGATTGCTTTTGGTCACCGGTGTTTATTGTAAGCTGAAAATTTGGACCGTCATGAGAAAATCATATTAGGTTATTTATGTATAGGGAGGTATTGGTATCCAATACCTTGTTAATTCCCATACCAAAATTTACCTTGACGCTCGTCGTCATCTGTAAGTGTTTATATTGTTTGTATATACCGTACATTGTATTTTCGGGCCAAAATGTCGTATTGATATACAGTATATTTATTATTTAGGGGTAGTATGTATGTTTTCTAACTGCGAAAGTATGTTTTACCGTTGAAGTCCATTTAAAACCTTATATCAAAAGTAATACTTAAGACCCTCACGAAGAACAACTGCCAGTCCGCCAGTGTTTTATTTTTTAGAACACTTTTTCAGTTTGATTGCTCATTATACATTTCACACCTTTTAAGTGGCAATGTACTGCAAATTCAACTATTTAAACATTGAAAATTCTAACATGTAGCTTGGTCATAGACATATGGATATTGGACGGTAACGAAATACTTTCTATCAACTATTTAGTCGGATGCACTCGAAATCATAGGTACGAAAGTAGACAAAAATTAAATTGTTTCACAACAACACAGAATTGTGACGTTTAAGCATTAACCATTACAGATTGGTGTACGAATCCTTAAGTTTACCGAAAGTGTAAAAAACTTCAAGAATCAAGAGTCCTGAAACGCTTGCACTGATGAAAATATTGGCTAATGTTAGGGTTGTGTGTTGCTACAATACATCGTCAGAACAATTTTTTGTAACTAATGATTTTAAAACAATTTTTCTTGATATTTAATTTACTACCGAAATAAACGTGTCAGTGACATTGTGTTTGGAAATCCATTACCGCAGCGACAGTTAATCATCGTATAGCCGTATAACAACTAATGGTTGCCGTCAGTTCAGAAGCTCCTCTGACTAACGCTCTGGTCCACAGTTATTGATTGTCTAATTACCAGCCAAGAATGAAAACAAACCATTATCCTATGAGATAAGAGAGGTGAACTACGACCACGGCTGAGGAAAGAATCTGGTTGTTTACGACCCAGAAAAACCTAGGTTACTTGGCGCGATAGTCCGGATGTCCAAAGTTAGTGGACATTGTGGGCGGTTAGAGTAAATCTTTTCCAGATGTTATTGATTGATTTTTTAAAGATTTACGGTTATTGACATGCTAATGGGAGAAAGTATGTGTCAGATTGCTGATACAGTTTTTTTTAAATTGATTTCACCGATTAAAAACCTTCTAAAACGAGATAATTCAACTTTGAAATCATTATTTCTTTACGTCATTCTTTTTGTAATGAATTGGAGATAAAGCATATTTTATTATTTAAAAATATATAATCCCTCTGGTTATCGTACTGAATCCCCAACACGTTTTGTAGTAATCTAAAATCTAGTGTTATCAATAATTAGGGGAATTTAAGACATGACCTCATCGACGAATTTCTCCTTGATGACGTTTCCAATGGCTCTGTATGAAGTCAATATCCAACAGTCGCCATTCAACTCTTATTGATTACTTATCTAAGTAATTTAAATACTATGCTAATGATACAGAAGCGTTACCATGCGAAGTCACAACTTGGATTGTACAACTCTAACTTTTAGTCCCTTTTTTCAGCTACAAGTAAATTATTTTTTCCCTTTTTGCCATACTGCAACAGCTGTTTTCAATGCATGAGTTGTGGGACGAAAGCATTTCTTTTTATTATTTATAGGGTATACAAATAATCAGATATTAAATAATAAAAAAAATTATTTGGGTACATTCCTTAGAGGTTTATGAAACCATCAAACCAAATAGGGTCAACCAGTGAAGCATACAAGGTATTATTTACCACGTTTCGTCATACCTTAGAAGTACAGTACTCGAGTTTAAATCCCTTGGAAGCTTGGTTGACGGTAGTCACCCCCACCCCGCATGTAGTGGCAGTGGCCGGTTTCCACCCCCGGTATGTTAATGACACACCTGTGTCGGGCCGGCTTATCTCACGTTACGGCGTTGTTTCTCGCCGCTCTTTTGTCACCCGAGGAAAAGAAACCCGAAAGTGTCATTTGGAGGATCCTACCGATTACCGAAAAAAGTGTGAAGTGAAGATCACTGCTATCGGGTGACCTAATGTGATGTGGAGGTTGAATTTGATGAGATTCACGCCTACTAAACCTAATTTTTATTAGATTAGATTAAATTTCTACCAACACACAAGGGTGTGTATTTTAAGGTGAAAAGTGGCCGATTAGTGTTGAATGAATGAGATGGCATTGTTGTTACTGACTGAGATAAAGTGGTTCTTAACCCAGGCCCATGATCCAGGACAGCTGAGTCGAGTTTCGAACCATCAAAAATCTTCTGGCTTTTAAAAGGCTTGAACTGGCAATCCTCTGATTGTAGCGAGCACTACATCCACCTATCGTTTAGCTGTACAAGGACCATTAAAAAATAAAAAATAAACTTTACATACGGTAAGGAATTGTTTTTATCCAAGGATACTAGGCACAAGCCCGTAATTGTTTTTGACACAAAACTTCAAGCTAGACCTATTGGTTGCGGCATTATTACTTAGATACAATCCATTGGTGATTTGACAGGATTTGAACCCGGGACCTCAGGGACCTAAGTCCCACGCTCTAACCCTCACTTCCCACTTATAAGGAATATAGGCCTAACTTGAGCTTTTTCAAACAAATGTCCATTTTTCCATACTGTGGACGGTCTACAATGAAGGAAATCTTTAATGAGAGCATGAGTGACGTAGTAATTGTACATTAATTAAAGGTTAATTTTAGCCAAAAGGTGGTGGGTTTAAAATTACTAATCCAAGTAAACTTAATCAGATAGTATACTGATAACATTTTCTACCTTAAGTACATGTTATGCACAATCAGAATTGTAATACATTTCCATACTATTTGTACTTTCTTTACAAATTGATCACTTCCACCTCATGGCTGTGGTACCAGCATAGAGATCTGTGATATGAATGAATGTCATGAATGGAGCAGAGTGCCACCCATGTGGAAGTAGAGGGTGGGGGTTGTGGTGAGGGGTGAGTGTTAAAACAATGGACAGCATCATGTTACAGAGGGACATACCTACATAAAGCAGACGTTGAGGCTTCATGGGCAAAAGCAGGGTGACAGTCGAGAGTGGCTGTTTAAACTCTTAATTTGTGCTCTTGCGATTGAGATTTTCCTAGGAAAAGTGTATGTATAACTTTTTTTATGGCGTTTGGACTCAAATTTATAGTGAAATTAGAGCAACACATGTTCGCTCGCTTACACACAGTTATAACATATTGATCAGTAATTGATTTTTTGGTTTCAGGAATGCTTTCAAGAAGTGAAGGACCATGTATGCCTCTAGATACACTGGTGTCTACATAGCAGTGTACATGTCCCAGCTTGCAATACTGGTGCATGCAGGTAAATCAAGTTTTAAGTTCTTTTATCAAACTATGTTGTGTTGTTTTCCATTAACTGCATGAGGAAGTTACTTCTTTTTAAACTTATCTACCCTGTGCATAGAATGCATTGGTTGATTTGGAGTGAGCGGACCTTGTTGCAGTGTGCATCAGCCACAAACCTTATGAAAACTCAAAAGTGAATATAATCAACAACATAATCAACAAGGTTCTGAAAGAATTCTAAGTCTTATTACTCTAGCACTTAAATGAGCAGTTATCCAATTAATATAACTTAGGCTAAATGCTATTTTTTTGCCCTAAAATAGTGTTAACTGTTTTAGTCAGAATAGTGTACGTTTTTCATGAGCATTCTGTACTAGTTGAAAAAACCTTTAATGTGAACAAACTCATTAAAGAATTCTTCTTAGTTCTTTGACAAAAATGGACTAAATTAACACTTGACAAACTACCTACTGCTAATAATTTAAATTTTAGATTTCATTATACTAACAGCACGAATGTGAAATTGTGGTATAATAGTTATTTTATTTCTTAATAGTTATGTTGGCAGGCTATTGATCTTACAGTTCAAATTTTCACATTGGTGGCGAAGAAAAATAAATCAGTTTCACTCCTATTTTAATCCTTCATTATGATCGTACAAAATATATATAGTACTGGTTTGAAATTCGAGAGAAAAATCACTTGTGTCCAAAGAGAAATGAGTTAATGATAGTGTATAAGAGTGAGAATTAATTATTGTAGTCAGGTTTCTCTTGACAGGTCATAATTGCAGGACAAAGGTGTGCTCTAGTTCTTTGTCTCTGTGTCAATGCATACCACAGTGATAACTGTAATTTGGCCACAATGGGTTCCTCTGACCCTGGTTTTGATAGGCTGTGTAATTATATGGTGCAGTGTGTACTCAGCAATGTCCCATCGTTCCTGGTTTATTTTTAAGTTTATAGTGCGTACTCTGGAATGCTCCATCGTTCTTGGTCTGTTTGCGAGTTACAGTATGTCCTCTGCTAAGTTCCATCGTTTCGATCTTTAAGTTTATATTGTGTCCTCTGCTACGTCCTATAATTCCTGGTCTGTTTGTAAGTTTACAGTGTGTTCTCTGCTAAGTCCCATTGTTCCTGGTCTGTAAGTTCACAGTGTGTCTCCGCAATGCTCCATCGTTCCTGTTCTGTAAGTTTATATTGTGTCCTCTAAGTCCCATTGGCCCTGATCTGTAAGTTTACACTGTGTCCTCTGCTAAGTTCCATCGTTCTTGGTCTGTAAGTTTACATTGTGTCCTCTGCTAAGTCCCAGCGTTCCTGATCTGTTAGTTTACAGTGTGTCTTCTGCTAAGTCCCATTGTTCCTGATCTGTAAGTTTATATTGTGTCCTCTGCTAAGTCCCATCGTTCCTGATCTGCAAGTTTACATTATATCCTCTGCTAAGTCCCATCTATCCTGGTTTGTTTTTAAGTTTATAGTGTGTACTCTACAATTATTTATAGTTTTTGGTTTGTCTGTAAGTATACATCGCATATCCAGTAATTCTCTATTGTTCCTGGTTTGTTTGTTGGTTTACAGTGGGCTCTTTGCAATGCCCCTTTGTTCCTGGATTCTTTGTTAGCTAACTGTATGTCCGCTTCAGTGTCCCATCCCATGCCCCATTACAGTTGTAAAGTAGAAAATCATTTGCTTACAGTCTTAACTTAGCTCTGGGAAGGTAGATTTTTCACTTCTGAAGTACCTTTATGTAACTTGTTTATTTGTAATTTTAGTTACTGTTACGCAACATCTGTAAGTCCTTGCATTTATTGTAGTGGCTGCCTGACAGAATGTATTTGTTTGCAGACAAGAGTGTAGGCAAGGGTGTGGGGCTGTGGTTTGTCAAGTCCCCTGAGCCGATCGCTGTTCCGCCCGGAGACGATGTGGACTTTGAGTGCTCGCTTAATGTCGGCTCTGAGAATGTCCGGTGGAAACACAACGGCAAGCTGCTGCCAGAGGAGAGCGCTGCTGACCCGTCATCTACAAGGAGGACTGTCAAAGTCATTGACGACCGACAAGCAGGGGACTACCAGGTGAGGGATGGGATATTTGCTAAATAATGTTCATACTTGCTTATGGTATTCCTTTGGATTGTATTATTGACTTTTGGATATTGAAACAGACACAATATGGACAAGCTGTAGTCAAATTTGCATTACATTAAATTTAAGTTTGTTGAATGAACTACTATCAAAGACAAGAATCCAGTGGAAATTGAGCCAAGATACCTAGTTGCTCTAGTCTAGTCATAAAAACTTAAAATATTTATCAGTAATTTGGTTGCTAAAATTCCAACATGAAGATATTTTGAGTATAGGGTGTGCAGGGTGTGTTACCTTAGGTTATGTTCTGCTATAGGTAGTCATTTTACAAAAAATTTCCTTTGCAAAAAATAATCATTATTTTTTAACATTTTGAGTTATTTTCTTTCATCAGGTCAAGATTTCATCCGTTAGTAAAGAAAACAGAAAATTCCTTAGCTTTGTAGAGAAGATTATTATTGTCAAACAGTATTACACTAGTAGTACTAAATATTAATAAGTTTTATTTTCAAATCTAGTTTTTTGTTAGAGGTAGTCTTGAGAAACTAAAATAAATGCACTATCTAAGGACTTGATAACAATAAGTGAAGTACTTGTCAGATGCTCTTCATTGTGCCAAGATTACATGATAAGTAATGTAGAAATCTTGTTTTACGCAGAGTTAAAAATGCTCTACAAAAACATTTGATGATAAAAAATTTACTGATCTTACAGTACTTAATAGTAAATTTTCTTTTAAAGTAGCCTTTCGGGAGTGGTATCATAGACTAAGCAACGCAAGTAGACTCCTCATTCCATTGTAAATTTTGAAGCTTGTTTTTTGTGTCTAGTTCATGTACGTCCACACTAATCGCTGGGGTAGACGAAATTTTGTTTCTATTATTTATTTTGAACACAGTCTTTATATTTTACAATAGGAAGAGAATTCAAGTTGCATGATTCAAAGTCAGTAGTAACACTATGGTATTTTATTGTTCTATTATTCCAATTCTTGAACATATGTTTCGTGAGGTTTGTAGTACATTGACAGTTCTTACTCGACTGTCTGGCAGAGGCCCAAACTTGTAACGAGTTAAAACGGACACGGACACTTGTCCAACCACTTTATTCTTCATTTTTCAAAATAAATTAACCTGCTCAGAACCCGAATCCATTAGTAATCTAAATCAAATTCCTGATGTGACAAGTCCGGAATACTCCTTGTTAGTCCTGATGTCCCACACTATGTCAATCCTTCACATGTTGACTGTCAGAACATCTGTTCACAAATAACGGTGGGACCTTGTTTGTGGGACTGTTAGAATGTGTTAGAGGCAATGGAAATTGTTTGGTAGTATTTAATATTTCTATAAATTGTTTGTTTTTGGTGTGTTGTGGTTTTATTCTTGATCCATACAGAATAAGTTCTTGATCAGCATCGTATGTGTCATTAAATTACCTGAAAGCACAAAAAATACGTCAAATAACACTTGTAATAAAATATTTACACTTATACTGTTTACTCTTAAGACAGTAAAAGATGGTAAGTGGTGATCAATTTCGACTGTATTACTGATAGGCTATTACAGGAGTAAAAATATCTAGCTGCGTATCAATGCTTGGTTATGGAATGTTTTCTTATGAAATATGCTGTTTATAAAAGAATTGTAAACTTGAATGGATCCTATCACCTGTACGAATTAACTGTACATTTGACTGTTGAAATATCAACTATTTGTTATGAAAACAGCAAGTAAGTTAAATAAAGGTACACTTAATAACACTCTTGATCAAATTGTAATTGTATTATTCTGTCAAATTTAATAACACGTACAATGCTGATAAAAAAAATTTGTTATAATAAAACACACATACTGTAGTTGAATCTAAACCTCACTGCTCAATTTTACTGTATTTATAAAGACACATATTATGTATCAGCTTTAAAATTTAGTTTTAAAACAAATGATATAATTTGCTTTTCATTTTCATCTGTGTTTTTCCCTTTTGGTACTTAACAAAACTAGACTGACACGGAACCTTTATGTTGCTACTATGGTATGTATAGTAACAGAAAAGTCTCTAAATTCATAGAAAAGGTCGATTAAAATTACTAGTTTTTAAATCCCGGGCGGGTAAACCAACCTATATTTTTACTCAAACTGAGGTAGTTGATCCAAGGCTGAAAGAGGGTCTAGTCATCTGTTTTATGTTTGTAACACCTCCTGGTATATCCTGCATTGAACCATGTATCTGTACAGTGTATAGCCTGGTATGGAGCCTCTGCCCTGGCTAGTACCATCGGCAGACTAACGTTGGCCGAGCTGAAACAGTTCCCGCCTGCGTCTCCTCGGTACTTCACCGTCACTGAGGGCAACAGTGTAGTCATCGACTGTCCTGCGCCTGTCAGTTACCCTCCAGCTGTTATACAGTACTACTTCAACAATGTGCTCCTCTCTGGTCAGTATATTGAAACTTACGTTACATTTCAATTTGATTACTTCAAGGTATTATCATTATTGAACTTGGTTTTTTTTCTGAATAAAACTAAAAAAAAACTTTATTTGTGGTCTGTAGATTTAAACATTGTAAAGTTATTTCAACATCTTTTTTACTGTGGGTTAAAAATTTACTACTGTGTAAAATTTTTTAGATATTTTTTTTGTGGTTTTTCTTGTTATTATTCTTACATGTACTGATCTACTGTATTCCAAAATTGTCTGTTAGAACACATTTATGATTTTTCGACCTTTAAAACATTCAATCCAGTGTAAACATTATGACTTCTTAAAAAAGAAGGGTTCAGTTTTCCTAACGGTTCCAAACAAGATTCTGAGTAAAATTACATTGGTTTTAAATTGCTTTGGGTTAAAAGACCCCAGTCTCAAACTGCCAATCAATAAATGGCTGATTGGTCAAAAGCATATCTGCATCGTGTTTAAAAACCTTATGTTTTGTATCCATTAATAGTATCTTATAAATTAACCCATTAATCCTACAACATAGTTAGGAAAATCTCTTACAAATGATTGTTTTGCTAATTATGTGCAATAGAGGCATCTTTAATATGCACAAGAATTAGAGGATTTGGGACTGCTTTTCCTTAAAAGCATTTAAAATTCTCAATTGCAAAATACCACTGTTGTTAAAAATAACAAAACACTCTACAGTATTCTTAAAATAATTTCTGAGTAGCAGTAATAATATGTCATTTTGCTACTAGTGTTTTATGAAATGTGTGTATTGCAGAGTCATCGTCTCTGGTGACCACCAATTCTCTAGTCCTACACAATGTGACCAATGCTCAGTCCGGCAGATATAGCTGCAGTGCCTTCAACTACATCACTAGCCAAACAGTGAGTTTCTATAACTAGTGTAACACATCACTGTGAATACATTGGTTCTGTTGTGTACTTAAAATCGTGTTTAACTGTAATCCGTTGTTCATGGGGATTTTGAGCCATTTTTATCAAGCATATACAGTAGAACCCCTCATAGCCGGCCTCGGTTTTAATGATTCTAATTTTATCTGAACACTTCTCGGAAGCCGATATTAAAACATATATCCCTTGGACACACCAGGATGCAAATTTTAACAAAAAGATGAGTGTAGGATGACTCTTGAATGGGATTTAAGCTTTATTGCTGACTAAGCTTACATGATTCATTAACACTTATTAAAAACTTTATACTTAAGGATAGCTTGGCCCAGTTGCGGACCGCCAAAGTAACAGTTTGGACTAAGACTTAATATGTGTATACTGTTTTACATTTTAAGGTGGTTACACTCAGATTCTTGTCCGAGTAGGTTGCTAAGCTATGTACTTGTGTCGCCAGGTTCACTCCCCGATGGTCACTACACTGTCTGTGATAGGCACACTACAACCTTCTCCTCCAAGGTTCCTATACACTCCCCAGGCCACGTATGTTGTGCAGAACGGTGAGTACCCAAAATAAACTATTAGTTCTTTAGTGTAAAGTTCGGTGTTTTTGTATATACGAGGATCGTCTCAAAAGTAAGTTACACATTTGTTTTAAATCACAGCGTCGAGCGCTAGAAAGCTGGGAGTCGCGGGGAATTTTCGTCTAGATGTAGTGGCAACACTGTAAACGTCGCGGCCGCCTACGGTGCGCGCCCCTCCAGTATTGCTCCGGCCATCATGGAGAAACCACTTGTTCCCACCGCCGATTGTGAAATCCGTGCAGTAATTAGATTTTTGACTGCAAAGAATAAAAATGCAAGTGAAATTCATCGAGAATTGTGCAGTGTTTATGGTGAAAATGTGATGTCTAGGCCAATGGTTTCCCGCTGGCGTCGATCGTTTATTGATGGACGAAAATCGTTACACGATGAACAACAAAGTGGCCGCCCGTCGACTTCCCGCGCTTTGACTGTTGTTGAAGATGTCCGCAAGGTCATTGACACTGACCGGCGCTTGACATTGGATGAAATAATCACACAGCTTCCTCCAAATGTTGAAATTAGTCGTGCGTCGCTTCACAGAATCATTTCGGACGATCTCAGTTTGTCAAAAGTCTGTGCAAGATGGGTGCCACGCCTTCTTTCAGAAAGGCATAAGGAGCAGAGGGTTGATGCTGCTCTCCAGTTCCAACAATTTTTTGATGATGAGGGAGATGGCCTATTCAACAGGATAGTAACCGGGACGAGACTTGGGTGCACATTTGGACACCCGAAAGCAAGCGGCAGAGCATGGTGTGGAAGGGAAAGGACGAGCCTACTCCAAAAAAGGCAAAAGTCGCCGAATCAGCTGGTAAGGTCATGGTAACGATCTTTTGGGACTCTAAGGGAGTATTGTTGATTCATTACCTGCCAAGGGGGGAAACAATTACAGCTGAATGTTATTGTGAAGTGCTACGTAAGCTGAGAAGGGCAATACAGAACAAAAGGAGGGGAAAGTTGACCAAAACAGTGTTTTTGTTTCACGACAATGCTCGCCCACACACCGCCCGTCAAACACGAGACCTTTTGGAATCCTTCCGATGGGATGTTTTCGGCCATCCACCTTACTCTCCTGACTTGGTGCCGAGTGATTTTCATCTCTTCCCGGAGTTGAAGCGGCATTTAGGCGGGAAGCGCTTCGAAAACGAAGACGAACTGAAACGGGAGGTGGAACAATGGCTAACCAAAATGGCGGCAGAGTGGTATGATGCTGGACTAAAAAAACTGTTGCCACGTTATCAAAAATGCCTTGAAAAAGATGGCGACTACGTAGAAAAATAGTCTATGTATGTATCTTTTAAAATATACCCTTTTCAAATCAAATTTGGCTTTTATATTTATTTTGGAAATAGGTGTAACTTACTTTTGAGACGACCCTCGTAGTAGCTAATTAGATTTGGTTTTACATGTTTATTGAATGTTGCCAGTTTTAAAAGGTGTATTCTGTATGCATTTTTGTCACATGATAACAATTATATAATTTTCCAGGTTCAAATGTGACCCTGGAATGTCTCGGTGTTGGAACCCCTCCTCCCTCAGTGGGCTGGAGAAGGGTGGGGGGATCCTTGCCCAAGGATCGGACGCAGCTAGTCACTGGAGGCCTGCGATTGGCCAACGTTCAGGCTTCAGACAACGGAGCGTACGTCTGTGAGGTGTCCAACGGGATTAACCCTCCAATAACACACCATATCACTCTTCAGGTTCAAGGTAACAGAATTATTTTTACTCGTAATCTTTTAAATAAATATAGATTAACTCATTGATTAATTGGTCTTTGAGATAATTGTATCATTTTACTGGCAAAATACTGGCCAACATTTTCGATGGGTTGCAGAAATTCACCATCAGGGCAAGGTAAAACTCAACTCAATTGGTTGCGTATGCTGTATTTTACCTTGCCCTAAAGATAGATTGGTGTATAAGAATAAGAATAAGAATAACACTTTGATTGTGGAAGATTATCTTTTAGATACCCCCACATTGATTTACTATCCTTATAAATCAGCTGACCACAAGTTTTAGGTTGGGCCAATACATATTTTTAGTAACAATTAAATGTATTGATGTCTTCTATTTATCTATTACTTATTTAATACGCAAGCAGGATTTTTGTGACAATTACTCCTCCGAAACTACTGAACCGATTGACATGTTTTTGGTGTCATTGGAAAGAGCGTAACATGAAGTTGTGCAGGAAACTTTCTTTTTTGGTAAATAATTAGAGAGGGAGGCCCTGGGGCCCTTTAAAGTTTTGTATTTCTCCATAAGATTAACATGGAATACAAACGTTGTTTTGAAACTCCAGCTGTTGTCAGAAATTAAATATTTATAATTGGTATCCATGGAAGCATGAGAAAATTCACAATGTTTACATTTGCTTTGACATTTAAAAGTAAACAACCAGAACTGTCAAATGCCTATTTCACAATTTCAGACAGCTGATCAAAAAATAAATAAAACAACTTTGTGGTAGGTTTATTTAATCTTAACCCTTAGAGTGCCAGGCGAGAAATAAAAGTAACGCTCAAAAAATGCCGATGATTTTTCCCGAAGGTCGCGCTAAAAATGCCGAGCGCGATCTGGCGATTTTTAGGTTAAAATTTTGTAAAAATCGAATTTTCAAAATTTCGACCTACGAAAATTGATGTATTGCATCTAGTAACTTTCGACTCAATGTTAATATATGGGTTAAAAGAACCCGAGTATCCATTCGGTTGCTATGACAACTGTTTGATCATTACGAAACGTCCGGTCAGCCGGACGTTGGCACTTTTGGCTCGTTCTAAAAACGTCCGGTCGGCCGGACGTCGGCACTTTTGGCTCGTTTTAAAAACGTCCGGGGCACTCAAAGGGTTCAACTTTATGATAGATTATTTATTATAAACCTAATTCAATGATTATGAAACAGATTTTTCCCGTTGCGAAGCAAAAATTAAAAGTGAGAAGAAGAACATATGTTAATTTAAACAGTCAATGTGTAAATAATTATCTATGTTGTATTAAAAATGTGTATAATTTTGGATGTTGGTTTGTGTTTAATGACACACTGTAAGTTATTAATTATTGAATTTTTATTTGAAGGATTTGGCATATGAGTATGCCTATGATAAATAACACCATTTCAGAGTTCTGCCAGTATTTGCCTAACTCTGTTCTGTAGAGTTTAAAGTAGCCTACACCTTATTGTCTACAAATTGGCTAAATAACTTAGGTACGGTACATTATAAAAGCTGACAGCTTTTTTACGTTGACTTAAATTGTAAGCTTACCTTTCCCTGTCCATGGACAGTTTGATAGTTAAAAATTAACCCTTTAAACTGGAATAGGACTGTTATGTAAATTGTGAGTATTTCCATTAGTTAATAATCTTTTAGTCGACTCTTTTAAAATCATCGAAAATTATGACTGTTATTAGTTTCTAAACGTTTATAAATAACTCCTGTACTTCTTTGCAATTGCTCGATCTCGAGCAACATGTACACTAGTTTTTATTATTTGACAACTTTTGTACTATCACAACCAAATATAATTATGTACAGGTGAGTTACCATTATCATCATGTATTTTAACCAAATAATGAACAGAAAATTGTTCATCTCTTTGTAAAATTATGCATTCTTCTTCATTTAGGGAAGGGGATCTTGCATAGCCTACATGTACTCATCTATTAAACTAAAGTATGATATTAAATGTTACATAAACTCAGTTTAGGAGTCTCACGAGGTTGTTGTTACAGAGCCGCCAGTGGTGACTCGGGAACCGAACAACTCCGTGGTGGAGGAGGGAGGCCAGGTGGAGGTCGGGTGTGAAGTGAGAGGAACACCTCCTCCCTCCGTCACGTGGCTGCTGAACGGAGAGTCTCTGGACAACGACACTCACGCAGTGGTCAGGGGTGAGTCAAATATCTCTGTTGTTTAAGGGGTTATTGTAGACATTTCTCATCACGACTAGTGAAACAAATTTGTAGAGCGGTTTGGGATTATTGACAATTATCGGTCCACTTTAAAAATTCCTGTTCTTTAATCTTGATAATAAAGATTCATGTTGAAACTATTTGTGCAAAAAAATTAACCTGGTACTTAAAAAGTTCAGATTTCGCTAAAAATATATTATAAACGTATCAATGAGCTTGGAAAGTTCCAATCATGGTGTTACTATTTTCCTGATTGTTGACAGGACACAAGCTGAGGATCACTGATGTACAGAAGAGACATGCAGGTGTGCTGCAGTGTTTAGCAGTGAATCCCCTCGGCTCTACGTACGGAGCCGCAATGTTACAAGTGTCACCGAAACAAGTCACTGCCAACGCACCTTCCTACCAAGGTACCTCTTCTCATGCTCTAGTTTGGCTAATCAAGAACACAAAGATACTGTAATCACGCTCTTCATATTTATCTTTTTAAATATTCTTCTAAGGAGTAAACCTAACCTAACCTAACAACATAAAAAATAAACAAAACAAAAAATCTATTACTATAGACTCTTTTCTATTACTTAATTACTTATAGTTCTGCTTCATCTTAACGTGCATCTATCAAACCTTGTATGCTTGTAGCTGACTAAGCTATATTCAACTGTCAATTTCTGTTGCAGAATCCCCAGAAGGAGTTAGTCTGCTGCCTCCCCTTCCTCCTGGCAGGACGCATCCCAAGAAGGATCACACAAGGAAAGGCAAAGGAAGGAGAAAAGACAAGAAACATAAAGGCTCAGGTTAGTGGAAAAGAATTGTACTAGAGCAAAAATACATTTGGGCAATACTAATTGGCTTATATTCTTCCTCGTAGAGTTTCTTTTAGAAGGTACCAAGCTATTTGAATGGTAAACTTTAGCTCTTCATCCATTTCTTTCTCCTAGGTTTTGAGGGAGATTAGCATAGTCGGGACTTTTTGTAATGGGTCCAAACCCTGATTTTGTTACTAATGACAACCTCTTGTTACGTAGCATCAATACATTCATAGACCAATAAAAAACAGCATGTCCTGTAACGACCCAATCAAACATGTTTTGTAAAATGCAAGATTAAACATTGTAGTATCCAAGCAGCTTTGTATGACTCAGTGTGTATTGTTTCAGTGTTGATGGTTCCTCCGACCAGACCCAACATTACCAGGCTGTCAGACAGGTCAGTGATGGTGAGATGGAGTGTTCCGCCCAACGACGGACTACCTATCCAATTCTTCAAGGTATGATGCTAATGCTTACCTATGTCTATAGGGTAAATCTGATTTGTAGATGTAAAGTATCTGTTAAGAGTTAAAAAGAATGGGTTGTGGATTTAATTTGATAAGAATCAATTTACATCAGTATGTTGTATGCTTTGTATTTTTACAAATTAGTTTTCAAATTAATTTGGAACCGAGCCAAGCCAGGTAAGGTAACCATATGCAACTAAACCATTCAATTATTGAATTGGGATTATGGTCGTGAGAATTAGTTGGCTTACCCAACGGGTAATAATTTTACCATGGCCTTCAAAACTTGACATAGAGCTGATATACATCTAATAAACAATTCTAGCTAGCAGGAAGTTGGTCACCAATGGCACAACAACAAAAAAAACCTTAACATTATATTCAACAATTCAACAAATCAAAATATTTGTTTATAGTTGGCTTTTTGTGTTTTTTCTACCAGCATTGATTTTTTCCAATTTAGATAAGCCTGATATCCCAAAATATATTTGAAATAACTGGTGTAACTGGTGTGGTTGTATTAACTGTAAACTGGTGGAGAAAGTATCTGCCCCTTGATGGAAAGTGTTTTTAAAGCTCCTAATTTCACTTAACACCACACTTGACCTACTTGACATGGTTTCAGGTGCAATACAGAGAGCTGGGAGGACGAGGGAGAGGCTCACGTTGGATGACCAGCAATGAGGACATTCCCAGTCACATCAGGAGCTACGAAGTGGACAGCCTGGAGACTGATCATACCTACAGGTACACACACTAGTTGTGTTAATATCACGTATGCTTTAGGTTGCTTCTTCTGTGTTTCTATTGTATTTACCTCTGTAATAATGTGTAGCTTATGGATATTTTTTTCAAATTATTTAAACTTTTTAGATAAATTGATGTACATCATTCAGAAGACTGCAAAATATAGTTGAGGCAGTAACTCCTTGCTTGGATTTGAACCAGCGACCTTTAGATTTGAAGGCAAGCGCTGTAACCACTTTCTACCCAGAAAAGGATCAACTTTAATTAAAAACTCTTCAACAAGGTTGTTGTGAATCCCCCTTTATTCCTTGTGAATAATGAATTCCTTTGGGTTTATAAGTCCTGCATCTTTGATTTGTGCCTAAACAGGTTTCGCATCGCAGCTGTTTACTCCAACAATGACAACAAGTTGGGTCCAAACTCCGCCAGGTTCCACCTCCACCGAGGGTCACCCAAAGATCGTAAGCCTCTGTCCCCTCCTTCCCTCACGCACACGGAGGCAATCAGTCCCTCCGCCATCAAGATACAGTGGCAGGTATGTCTGTGTTCAAGAGTAGTCTATGTGTAAATTCTGTATAATTGTTGTTGTTATTCTAGATTTCAAAATACTATACAGTTCAACCTTGTTTAATTGAATTGTCACTCTTATAACCATCAACCTCTTTGTCACCTTATAAATTGGTTTTGATATTTTCACTGTTGGCGGTGCTGCAGTTTTTAATAATATACAGTGTATATGTGTTGATAAAATAATTCAATGTGTATTCACTGGTAAACCGTGTTAGATCTTTCCAAAATCATTGTAATTTTGCAGAATGTAGACTTTAGTAGGCCTAAATAAATTCCTGTTATTGGTCTATTCAGTTAACCATCCTAGTCCTGGTCAAATAGTTAACGATGGTAATGACCATTACTAACCATCAGACAATAATGAGCAGATACATGATTTTACGGTATTTACTCAGGGGAGGTATAGATGAGGTTACGATGACAGCTGTGGGCTTCTCATTAGCTGAGGGAACACCATTACCGTAACAATTTGGAATATTTCCATCGGCCTCAGTGGTCTAGTGGTTAGCGTGCCGGGCTGATATGCTGAGTGTCCCGGGTTCGAATCCCGCTGATGGCACTAACTTTTTGACTAAGATTTTTTCATTATCAGCAAGTTTGGTTGGTTTGGTCCGGTTATGACAGTTTAATTTTATTATTAAGTCAATCTCTAGTTTTATTTAATGAACAGAATTTTGTTTCTATTAATAAACTTTTTTTATATTATTTCATTAGGTATCAGCAAGTTTGGTTAGTTCGGTTAGGTTATGATAGTAATTTTATAATTAAAAAATTATAAAATTGAATTTGAGGCATTTATAATTTTTTTTTATGAACAGAACTATTTTTGTGATTATTAGTAAACCTTCATTGCCAAAATATTCTCTACTAGAGCGCTGTTCGCGGAAGAATTTTGAACTAATGCCTCAATCGGTACCTCCCCTAAGTCAGACCCTGATTTTACACATTCATTAGTATCCCAATAATCAGTTATTGACAGCTGTGTCCCTTTTGAAATTCCTAATAATAATTGGATTCCTTGAAGTGTTCCTTGAAACTTATGAGATCACCAAGTGCCTATACACTATAAGAATAAAGGTGGTTTTTTAGATCTAATGTTTTTAACGAGATTAGCAGCCTATTTTACCTTGAATTTGAACACACATGGGCCACAGAGGCCTGTGGTTGGCGCATATCAAGCACAATCAGTCTACTACTGACTGAGCCACCGACTCACCATCCTTCTTATTTTTTAATTTCATTTTTATTTTATTCATGAAGCCAATTATTGTACTACTATGTATATTGCTTGATAGGAAAATTATCTCTAATCTTGAACCATTCTAAGACTTTGTTAACCCACAGTACCTCAACTCCGTGATGGCGCCGGTGGATGGTTTCTACGTGTACTATCGCATGACCAGCAACGCCGGTGACTACATCAAGGCCACAGTAGAGGGAGAGAACACCAGAGCCTTCATAATCACCCATCTGCTGCCGGACACAGCCTACGACATCAAGATACAAGCCTTCACCGTCAACGGTGCCAGCGACTTCAGCGCCATCCTCACCCATAAGACTCTGAGTGAGTTATGTTTTGTGTTAGAATGTACTTTCATTCTAAATCAATGCTATGCAGAATTTGTAACAGAGTTGCGCCTTAAGTTTATTAAATTAAAATTGAAAGTCTCAGCATATATACCGGGTGTCCAAAACCACCCGTACACCCCTTTCAAAACGTTTGAAACATTTTCTTACAAACAAAAAATAATACAAAACTAGCTAAATTGGGTACGGTCTACCAAATGGTGATAATTTCAAATCCAAAATCACACCGGAAATGGCTTTTTCAGACCGGAAGTTGACTTTTTTAAATGTAAGCTACCGGTACCAATTTTGATTACAGAATCGGATTCTACGTTGAAAAATGCATAACTTTTGTATAAAACATTTTTTAAAAAAAACTAGTTTTCTACCTCTAATCCCCTATTAAAGTCAATAATTTTGGGTCATTCATCTGTCAAAGTTACTGGAAACAATAATAGAGAAAAACAAATAATAAAGATTACATAAAGACATGTGATGAATAGAATCAGCTGTTTATTGTAAACACCTTAGTAATTGAGTAACAGCTGGTCTACACGTTGCTTAATTTAATTTTTGTTTAAATAATTTGTTTTTACATTTGACCATTCTAATGTAAAAACAAGTGATTTTTTTATAAAATGTAATATTAAGCAATGTGAAGACCAGCTGTTACTCAATTACTATAGTGTTTACAATGAACAGCTGATTCTATTTGTCACACGTCTTTATGTAATCTTTATTATTTGTTTTTCTCTATTATTGTTTCAAGCAACTTTGGCAGATGAATGACCCAAAATTATTGACTTTGATAGGGGATTGGAGGTAGAAAACTAGTTTCTTCAAAACATGTTTTATACAAAAGTTATGTATTTTTCAACGTAGAATCCGATTCTGTAATCAAAATTGGTAGCTTACATTAAAAAAAGTCAACTTCCGGTCTGAAAAAGCCACTTCCGGTGTGATTTTGGATTTGAAATTATAACCATTTGGTAGACCGTACCCAATTTAGCTAGTTCTGTATTATTTTTTGTTTGTAAGAAAATGTTTCCAACGTTTTGAAAGGGGTGTACGGGTGGTTTTGGACACCCGGTATAGCAACATTTTGAGGGACTGATTAATAGTGCATGTTCTTGGGACTTTGTATGACCATTTCTCTTTGTATGAATTGATATTTTTGTACTAAATATACTTTTGCAAAAGCTTTTTGATGAGGAGAAGGGTTATATTCTTGTTCTTATTATTTTGTCAACAACGCTTGCTGTGGTGGATAACCTGTAGTTTTTTTTATACACAGAATTGGACAAAACATTAAAATTAGAAGACAAAACTGTACAGTTTAGCCTCTAACGCACACAGTTTAGCCTGTAACGGTTATCCAACCGTTATTTGTTGTAAATATTAACTATGCGAAGCTTTGATTTACTCTTCAGGGATCAACTCTTCCTTACGGTTGTAGTGATAATTTTTTTTTATTCCTGCAACTTGCACTAAGTCATATTTACTAACGAATCAGTAATTAAAATTCAATTTAATGTTTGTATGGAATTTTGAGATCTTTTAAGTCCGATGTATTATTTAAAAAAAAAACCCAATGAAGCCTAACATTATTCTACACCAATAAATTATCAAGTCTAATTATAATTTTACTGGCCATTTTGCGACTTGTAAGTTGTAAATCAAAGTTTTGTACTATCATTGTAGAAGACTTATCTGCGAATACCACATCAACGACGACCAATACACAAGTTGTCGAGAACCATCCAGACGACAGTTCCAACAACCGGCTGTACGTAATGTTGGCAGCAGTGTTAGGAGGTTTGACACTGCTCACTGTCGGGTTGGCAGCATTGTGCTTTTGCAAGCAACGATCCTCATCTCTGGACGATTCAGGTAAAAGACGTTTACTATGATGACCTACTGTGATACAATTCTCACGTGCAACATTCATGTTCCACACCTGCAGAAACTTATTTTATGCATCTACATATGGCTACACTTTACACCTACGAATGGTGACATAATACTTGTACAAGTAGACTGAACATAGTAACCTCTTGGACCAACACATATATGTTCTCAAGGAATATCTCTTGTAGAATTTGTCTATTGTTAAGCCAGTCATTATTGGCTTAAGACCCAGCATTATCACTGTGGTTTCCTAGTGAATTAAGTCACGTGACTTGAACCATAATAGCTCTTCACTGACTTTAGATCATCACACAGATCAATTATCTATGGTGACAGGCAAAGCTATGACTTGCAAGTCCTCTCTACCACTAATCCCTCATCTTATTTAAAGGTATTTTAAAGGGAAAGTCATATTTTACACATAATTCAACCTGTCGAATCTTTATTTTTTTACAGGGGAGTATATTTTATACTTACAGGGGGACTAGTTTTACATCTACAGAGTATTTAAAAAATTAGATTAGAGAATCCCTATATGCTGGACCTACAGATGGATGGAGATATTTTTCACTGATGTGTGTTCTTGTCTGTCCAGGCGCAGGGGAGGAGTGTGATAAGGTAGGGAGGGGAGAGCCAGGACTGACCATTCAACAGCTGGACCCTCTACCCATGAACGGGTTTGCTCACGGACACACCGTCACTCACAACGGCAAGATGAACGGGTACACGCCACACACCATCAACATCACCAACAATCCTCTGGCTGAGCCGCATCAGGATAAGGTATGTGTCTTCTACATCATTAGATGATTTTTACATTCCCAAAAAAACTAGTTAGGTTGAATTTAGGAATGGTTTATTTGAAACACCCCTCTTTGTTATAAAACTGTTTCAATGTAAGTGAAAGAAAGACTGCACTCTGGCACAAAAACAAACATTAGACAAAACACAAAGATATGACTATATCATGGTCACCTGCATTTGCAATCAAGAAAGGTTTGAGTTGGTAAGATTTAGATAAAAGAAATCTCTCAGCCCAATTCAAACCATCATTGATTGGGGAATGCTGTTACCGTGAAATTTTTGTTAATGTCTATGTATGGTGTGAAAATTTCTGTATTTCTTGTGCAAGCGTGAACTCTTTCTCATTTAGGTAAGCCAGTTATCGTAAACAAAATCCTTAATACCTAGGCCCTTATGGTAAATGTTAAAATAACCCAATGTTAAAACAAGGGTTTTGTTGAATGAACTAACTTGTAGCCAGCTACAAGTAAACCTCAGTAAACCCTGGGTAAAATGAGACATGACTTTGGCTTAGATGAACTGTTGTTTTTCAGAATGTGATGGAGATGTCCTATATGAAGGGACAGAACAACAACTGCTCGGCGGAGAGCAGTGGCGGGGGAGAGGGAGATGAGCAAGCGTGGAGAGAGAGAAGTTCTGGAGAAAACTACGTCTAACTGTGATTTAAAGGCAACGAAAAGACGAGCCATATAATTTGTTAGGTTTTTAAACAGCAAAGCTGTTAGTATTTTAGTTTATTAACAACGGAATTTTATACGATAGTTGTACATATTTGTTAAATTGTTTAGTAACACTGTGATATAGTTTATTGTAGAATTAGCTTGTAAGGTCATTAAGTGTAACTAGACTTCAAGAAAGTATAGTTTTGTTTTAATTTATAAAGTTATTTTTATTGGAATGTGACAACTGTATTTATAATATTTATGGCCTCTGTATATTTTTCTATATTTATAAGGAAGTGTTAAACCAATAGATATTGGATTTATCAAACTTGCAATTTAAATCAAAATGATTAAGTGCCCCTATTGTTAGTCGTAAAACGTTTCAATTCTTTAGCTTCTAAATCAAGTTGTACCAAAAGTGTTCAAGATTACTAAAATATGTTGCTTGGATGTTGTTTTGGAACTATAAGTATTATTTAGATAATTTTTTTTCCAAACAGTATTGATGTTAAGATGTTGAGCATATTCTAAAGTTCAAACAGTATTAAGGCTAATTCATTATTTTCTTTGATTTTTAATGTGAATGAATAGAAAAAAATATGATTATCAATTTCCTACTCCTATATAATCTAAAAAATTAGATTCAATAACAAATTCATATTAATAAATAAATAGAAGAGGTTGAATTTTAAAAACAAAAAAACTAATACCATGGTTCTTTTGCCCGTATTGTAGGCGTATGCCATATATAAACATTTGACATTAACTTTCAATGGTGCTATAGTATTCATTATCGATTGAGGTACTTATTTGGCTTTATAATAGAATAAAAACAGAAGGGGAATCATATTTACATAAACATGTGAATTCCTGTTAGCAATTCTACTTAATAACTCTTAAATGTGTAACAGATAAAAAACAAATGAAAAAATTGTGTTTGAAATAAGTTAGTGAACAATTATTAGATAAGGATGTAAATGTATTCAACGTTTATTTATCAAAATTTTTTTGTGGATTAAAACTTAAGAATGTAATTATCAAAAACTGACAAAGGTTCTTTCAAGGATAATAATATAACAAGTCTGTATTAGTTTGATAAACTAAGTCAAGTATTACAACAAAATTTTATAGGGTTGCATTACAGAACAAATTCATAACATAAAGTTATTTATGAAACAAAATAAAAGGGTTCATGTTGTTTCACAAAGGTATGTTTTTACCTTAAGCTTAGTTGTCTTTCAACCAAATCTAAGACTTTGAGTAAATAATGCAATTTTAATGTTAGGTATTGGTATTGTAATATATTGTGCAATATTTGAAGTGGAATGTGTAAATGTTTAAACTGTTGCTAATAATATTTTGTTTTTGTAACTTTTATATCCAAAACATTTTTCTATAATGAAGAAACGCTTTACAATATTTTGGTAGCTATAACCCCTAGACTGATTACGATAATGGATGAAATATTTTCAATGTCTATGTATTTTTTACAGTAGCATATATAGATAAAAACTATTTTGTAAAATTGTTTTGAAAATATCAGAGTAACTTTGAAAGGTATCACAAATCTTTACTATAAAGTTTAAATTATTAACAAATTTTATACAAATGTTAATTTTGTACATAAGAAACTTGTGAATATACTTAATATAAAAATTCATTGTGAATATATTTTTATACTTAAAAATATTTTTTTCAAATGTTGTAACATGTGTGTATTTTCCGTGTATAAAGTTTTCTGACACGTAACATAGTGCTATGTCAACAAAAACGTTAACTTATTAAAATTACTTTAGGTTAATTAATTGTGAAACTAAAGAGATGCAGTACCAGTAATCTTCCAATAAAATACAAGGTTCCTACCACCGTCCAGGGAATTCATGTTTCACTCTTATTTCCTTTCAGATGAACCTTTAATATTTGGTTACTTCACGTGTAATGTTAGTGCTATAGTCCCAGAAACACCAACTTAATGACTGGAGAAATAGAGAACTGAAAACGTAAAAGAGGTAGAAAATATAACTAAGCTCTAAATAACTCAACTGTAGTTTTTCGAGCAACCTGCTTTGAGTAAGGTTTGTCTGTATTACAGTATTAAAAGAGTGCCATTTTTTCAAAGAAGATTAATTAATTGTCAATGATTGATGAATAATTCAAACAGAAGCAGAATTGTAATCAATCACTTTGAGTCATAATTTGTATTTCTGTTGGAACTAACTCATAGTTCAAATTAATTCAGGTATCACCAATCACATAAATTCATTGCAGTTTTGATCACAAAACAATATACACGTACAGGTGTAGTTTTAATTTATTTGAGGTGTATTTTTAATTGTGAGTATAACTGTATACTGAAGGTAGATATTTTTATTGAAAAAATAATGCTCTTCATACTATTTGCTTGTATTAATCTCTGATGCTATTATTTAAGTAGCTACCAACATTGTATAGATCTCAACATGTCTCAACTTAATAAATCAGGGTGTAAATTAGCAAATATTGAGTAGTAAAATACATTTATATTTGTTAATATTTTACAATTTTAACATATTAAAATTAGTGCAAAATTTATAACACAATATTTCTTATTTATAAATATGTTAACATTAACAAAATTAAATTTAACTATACATGAAGGCTAAGCTTAGGACTGCCTAGTCAATTCTTCCAATTTTTCTTAAAACATAAAATATGGTTAGAATTTTTTTCTTTTTCTATTTATAATTGAATTTTTGTAGAAAAATATTTAAACTGAAAAGTACATGATTTAAGATAGTTGAAAATGTAAGACTATTAAGTATGGTTTCATTTTGTTTTGACAGTACCTAGGTGATGATTCAACCCGTTTTTAAATGATAAGAACAAATTGTCACTATTAACATATTTTTAGACAGTTTTATTTTGTAATTTTCACCCTGAGTTGTTAAGGATTGTTCAAGTTTCCAAGTCATTGGTCAGACTTATTGTGCAATATGAATAACATTGGCACATTACTTTGTTATAATGATCTGTAACTTAAGTAACAAAATATACACCTTTACTATATGAATTTCACCATAAGTAGTTAAAGCTAGTTCTTTGAATCTACTATCTTTTCCCCTATAAAAAAGTAATTTCTGGCCATATATGGCCATATCAAAATTCCATATATGGTTTTATAAAGCCATATATGGGTTTTGATGAGCATATATGGAAGCATATATGGCCAGATGTGGTTGTATCCATATATGGTGGTGTCCATATATGGCCATATATGTAGTATATATATGGAATTATTGTTCATATATGGCCATACATGTTTTCGATATATGAAATAATTGTTCTTATATGGCCATACATGTTTTCTATATATGAAATAATTGTTCATATATGGCCATACATGTTTTCTATATATGAAATAATTGTTCATATATGGCCATACATGTTTTCTATATATGAAATTATTGCCCATATATGGCCATACATGTTTTCTACATATGAAATTATTGTTCATATATGGCCATACATGTTTTTTATATATGAAAATATTGCCCATATATGGCCATAAATATCCTCCATATATGGAATTATGGTCTATATATGGTCATATATGACTCCCAGGTATGAAATTAAATTACTCATATATGGAATAATAATTTTCCATTTATGCTCATCTATAAATGAGTTTTTGACAATAACTGGAATTATTATAAGGGATTGTTGCCACTTTAGGATTATGTAACTCTCAAACTCCCAAACACTTCTTATAATATTAAAAATCTAAAGTTTATCAGTTTGTGTATTTTCTTGTTGCTCTCCAAGCACAAACTACTTAACTGATTGAGTTGATATGTGGTACAGTAAGGGGGCAGATAATATAGGCAATTCTCCTTTAAAGTAATATTATTAGTAAAGAAATAAAATATCCAGATTTGAACCCTGATGACAAAATCCTGTACATACATCTATTGTACAATTTTATTATAACGCAACAAAATCTTAAAACTGACGTATAATTTTAAAATTGTAAGTGTAGTAGGCCTAAATAAGGAGAATATTATATTAATAATTAATTAATTGTACCTTTGCTATCAAACAGCCTCAAATATCAATGTCACGTAGTTAGGCTATATTAATAATAACATTCTTCAAATGACATAAAATGTCTAAGAAAAATCTTGTTTTACGAGACCAAATACAGCTTCTCTTATTCGTAATGGGTTTTGATCATCCACATGATATGAAGCAATCGTGGTGTAGTGGCTAAGGGGGCAGACTCTCACGCCGGAGTCCCGGGTTCAATTCCCAGTCAGATGCTTAAAAATTTTGTTTTGAAATTTTTGAATTTAAAATTTTTATTATAGTTTTAATTTATAGTTTATACCATTTAAGGTAAAAATATGTTTAATTGTTATTTTTTTATTTATTTATATATTTTTTATTAAAAAATTCCATATATGGAGGATTCCATATATGATCATATATGGAGGATTCCATATATGATCATATCTGGGGGATTCCATATATGATCATATCTGGTTGTATTTGGTCCAAAACCAAATATAACCGGATAAAAAAAATTTTATATGGCCATATATAAACTTTTTCATAAGGGTTAATTTAAACATTTCCTTCAATGTGATGTGCCAGTGAGTTTTGTAAATAATGTTCCCGAAATGCAACTAACGTACAGGAATGCCTTGCCATTAGAATAGTAAGTACTGTTGTACTCCTTATATATGATGCAGAAAATACATGTTTTGATTAATTTTGCATTTTTATTCTATTTACCAAGTTTATAAGTTTACAGAATCTTCAAGTAGTGAGCACTTAAGATGACCAACACTGTGGGTTTAGTGACAAAGTCTGAGTCCCAAAGATAAGTTTCGGTTGAATCTTTAGTATTACCGTTGACTTTTACATATAGTAAACACATCAAGCTAAGTTACTGAGGGGTAACCATGCTTATCCAACAATCGGGTTGATTGTGAGTAATGTCTGTAGCTGTTTGATGGTTCAAAACTAGACTCAGCTCTCCTAGACTATTGGCTCCAATAGTTGATCCTGACTAAAAAGTAGTTGGTTTTAGTTGATAACGAGATTAAAAATATGATTTTACACTTACAACTCATATTAACAGATGCCTACTGAAGGTATGTTCTGAATCAATAATTATTTTAAGTTTAAGTAGATATAAGTAAAACTATTAAAGACGATAGCCTATCCCTTAAAATTTGATTAGCCGACTATTAATGTTTTACAGTAACCCTAAAGCAATTGTTTTCCTATCCTGTTCTGTCAATGGTTGCCTTCGATTTTTTATTGTGACAAATAACCTTCAGCTTAATGGGACCTTTGAAACCTTTACAAAAGGATCTCAGCTATTCATATTGTCAAAAAGTCTTTCATTTGTCCTAACAAATGTTAACGTGGATAAACAATTAAGTAATCAGTGTAGTATGCATTAAGTAATCAGCAATCAGTGGGTGTTGTTTGGAATAAAAATATTGCAACACATCAGCTTCATTGGTACTAAATGTTTGAGCTGCGATCTTTACAGTCATTTTCCTATTCATATCAAATACATGCTTGTCACTCAATGTATTACATACTTGTACCCTTAATTTTTGTGCAACTCGTTGAGATTTTAGAAATGTTTTAATGAAATGGGCCCAACACTATTACTCTCATATCCGCTAGAGAATTGTGGCAAAGCTTAAGCACACGAGGAGGGTCCGTAATTACACAAATATCATGTTCGATACCATCAACCTTAAAACAAGGCTTACTTGGGAAATGGCAGCCAAAATGTTTTTATTGCAAAACATTTGTGCTAGCTCCATCAAATGTTACTGATTGAACATTAACAACATTAAGCTACCTAAGGTTTTTTTAGAATTTTTAAAAGAAATTTGAATTAGAATAATCTTTTACAACAAAGGCAATTTTAAAACCATCCAATTACATAATGTATCATTAAACTAACCACACTAAAAACCTGTCATTGTTTGTATGTAGCCCTTCCAGCGCCCACACCTACTCTCCTGCACCACACATGCTCGAAAATCAGACTACAGCACTAATGGACAGAGCGTGATCCAGTTGTCATTATGTCAATGGTAAAAATCTTCAGAGAAAACTGTTTTTATTCTTCCCAAATATCGAGTTTTTTCCCAAATCTCGAGGTTCTTCATTGGACTTCATTGGAAATTCTTTTAACCCTGAAAAAAATAATTATGTAAATACAAACCATCCAAACAACCAAAAACTGGACAATGTGTTGCCAGGCGGGATTTTACGGGAAATTTTACTACCAACCTAAACCGAACCTACGCCAAATTAAAGTATAGGACCAGCACAAAATGATGCTACTATTTTGACATGGCTAACGCTGATTGTATTTGGTTAATTTGGCTAAATAAATGACTTATGACTTATGGCTGACATAGTTTAGTTGATCCCCGATAAATGCGGAGGTCACAGGAGACCAACTTGTATAACTCTCACAGTGACTCCGACTGGAGTCGTACGCACGCTGTGCCAGTACGGCATGACTCTGATTGGAGTCGTCAGTGGCGAACGTGTTAAAAAGTATATTTTATGGAGGACTTTAGCCCCTTGACTAAAATATTTTTGGGTAAGTCTATTTTTTTAGGTTAGAGCTGGTTGAACTTTATCTATTATTAACAAATTCTTATGGATATGGTTGTAGCCGTGTAATATCTGAGACCAACTAACCTTGCCCAACCCATATGAGTTGTAGGTCTTCCTCTAGGACAGAGTCTGTGCCACTTATCACTTCACTCAGCCGCTGAGAGAGACGGAAGTATTCTTCTCTCTCCGTCTCCGTCATGGTTTCAGGCTGGCAAACCTCAAGGCGACGACAAGCATCCACCATTGCTGCCAACACTACCACTTTAGCGTGGTGAGACAGAGTAGGAGCTCGATCTATCTGTGGTTTGTTACCGATTAGGACATATTACAATGATACAATTACTTAGTTTACCAAGCAGAGCAGATACTAAGTTATTAATGGGAAATTGAGCAAGGATTGTATTCCAATTGAGAGCTTCTTGAGCAGAAAATTATTTGAGGAGGAGGAAACAGCCTTCTATAAATTGTTTGGATAGCTATTGAATGAGATTAGAAATGAAATATTTTCAACCAACAACAGCAGACTTTTAGATCGCAGTGCCCAAGAGTTCATTCCCCCAACATGGTGGCCCTCATTGATGCAGTGGCGGATTTACCATAAGGCACACTAGGCACGTGCCTAGGGGCGCCAGCCGTTGAGGGGTGCCCGCCGTTGAAGGGCGCCTGGCCGCGGCAGGCAGCGGATAACGTGACGGGCGGCACGACTACGGGCGGCGGGCGCCAGGTGATTATCGATCGGTGAAGATGACTCACGTTCATGTCCCGACGTGCAGATGCAGACATAATAAAACAAATTATTAAATATTGGCCTTGTTGAACATTTAAATTTAGTTATACATTTCATTACAAACAGTACAGATAGAATTGACATTCACATTATACGATTCTCACAACCTTTTTTAAGCACTTGCTACATGTTTTGTTGAAGTTCCATAAGATGTCAGGGTAGACCAATTTCTCTAATTTGATTGTAAAATAAACGTAATTATCAATTCTAATTTTGTTAACCTTGAACAGACAAATTAAATGTTTAACATTTTAGGTTTTAAGACTCAGGATTTGATTAAGTTTTGGTTTTGAGATTTTAAATTCCTGGTTTCGACCATCACTAATACTTACAGTAGCCTGTATATTGTTAACTTATTTTATAAAGTTATTTTATTGTATTCAAATTGATTACAGCCAGAGTTTTCTAGGCTACTTTAATACAATACCTAAAAGCGGTAACCAAAACCAGGATTACTAAAGAGTGTCTAAGGAACATGTCGGCCTTAGTCACTAACAAGACTACAAGTTTGCGCCACTCATCCTACACTCATCCTTCACTCATATTTGGGTTAAAATACGCACATAGTGGCGTCCCCATCTTAAATAATTGATAAAAATTGATAATTGATACTCCATGCTATTTTTTTACAATACCTGTTACTCACCTGCAGTTTGATTTGTTCATTGACCGGGAGTGAGTGGTTATAAGTCAATTCCTTGACAAATGACTCAACCTCTTCCCCAAACTGTTCCTTAACCTCTTCAAATGATGTGGTACCTTTCCCCACCACATCTTTAAGCAGTGCTGCACACAAAACGGACGTTTCTTCCACATCTGCATCTTGTGAGACGTGAAATGTTGTGGCTGAAATTTACAATAGTTCAATTTAAACACTATTACAAAGTACTACATCATTAGGGTTACTTCATTAACGTTCAAGATAACCGGAACCGTCCCAGATTTTAGCCACAACAGTCTCCCAAAATATTGTCTCAGGACACTAAAAAATCCCAAAAGTATATAAACAACTTATTGAAGTATATAGTGTTGTGGAACCTTAGAAACAATTTATTTACTACCTGGAAACATTGAAGTCGCGAGCAGGGGGCCCATTGGGGGAGGGGACAAACATAGGTATCCTGGTTTCCCGGAAATAAATTGGACACACAATACATCATACATCAAGTAAAAAAAAAAACAAAGAATTGAATAGTTCATTTTTAAGGGACACCATTGACAAAAACTGAAGGAGAGTTCACTTACAAATATACTTATAACTTTTACGGCTGCCAGCAAAGAAATATTTAAAGTAAATAGTAAATACCCACAAACAAGATGATTGATGTACGGAACATTGCTGCTATCATCAAACATGAAATGTTGTCTATGTTTAATGGCAGCAAAATTAGCTGCAGCTAGCAAAGGTTTTAATTCATCATGGTTCGGCCAAGGTGGAGATAATTTACTTTCACTCTGCTCCCGTTTTGTGATCTGGAAAAATGAAAATATAAATTGATTTTTCAAGCTGCTAAACAATGGAATTGCAAGTTGACCTTCCCCGACTAAATTGAAAAATATTGGCAGGAATTCTAAACATATTGAACACATCCTGCGTTTTGAAATAAAACTTAAAAGACTGTCATAAAAAAGGTTCATTTATAATTTGCCATTAAAAATTGTTACAGGTCTACTTTGTTTGTTTACAGCTCAACAAATTGCAGTATAATTTTTTATTTCTTTCAATGAAATTTGTTTTGAAAATCATAAAATCCCTGGCTGAAGCACTGCTGGAGTAACCCCCAGCTTGATTGCTCCAATGTTTAAGTGGTTTATGTCATTCCTTACCATGACTTGGGTTGATAAAAAGATTATGAATTCAAAGGTTTGTTAGAATAAATTCAAAGCAAACATGCAACACGTAGATTGGTTCAGGTTTTAAAATTTGCAAAATATCTATGTCTAGTGTCAACTATTGAGAAACACAAACAGGTACATATTTGACGTATTTCCAAGTCCTGGCTCCATTACTTACTACCTACTTGAAACTACAATGAAACTATCGGTGTACGCTAGTCATTAACAGTAGTAGGCCTAATCAATTTTGTAATCGAAGCAATATGATTATCATGATACAGCGACAGACACCTAGACAGATAAGATTATTGAGCCACCACTGATTTTTTTAAAAAGTTTGTTCAGTAATGTTTGTGTATACTCTGTACTCATACTTACCAATCCTCTTTTAACAAAAATTACATCCAGTTGTTCTTCCAGCTTGGGACTGATTCCTCTCAACCTCAAGCCTTCACAGACTTGGAACGCCCACTCAAAGTATTCACTTCTCCTCTGCTCTGACCAACCTTCAGGCAGTTGTCTCTCCAGATCCCTCAGATTGTACAACTTGTCTGCCATCTTCACCAGCTTCCCTGCAGGGCTTGTTGACCGAGCATGAACTACCTAAGACAAAGATTCAAAAATGGTACATTTACTTTACATGAATCAATTTCATTCTATCTTTATCATCTTCTTCTTCTTTATTTCATCAAATGTACAGATTGGTACATGAAATTGTTTCAACATGAGTTTTCTGATCTAGATTGCTAAAACTAGTGATTTTAAAATTAGGACTTTCCACGTTTCGTTATGAATTGAACGAGACCAGATGAGTCATCACTCAGGACACTATCTCAGATACATGCTGTGACAGGTGAATGCGCGCTCCAGTCAACAACCTGACCTTGGCCTACTGGGAGGGGATTTGGCAGGTGAAAGTATGACTTAACGAAACGAGGAATTTGTCCTACAAACATATTCTGATTACGGTACCCAACCTAACATAACCGCCACAGCGCGTTGTTCTAGGGTGGTCTCCGGATAATACCAAAATACCGAGTAAAACGCTGATTCAATGAAAAATCTTTTTAATGATTTGAAAAACTTGGTTGGATTCTTCTCTAATTTTAAAGTTTATGGAAGGTGGTATATAAATTTGTTTCCTAAATAACTAGTTTTTTTTTTTCTTATAAAATTCCAAATCTTGCTGCACTACCAATTAGCGTGATCTTGTGTTATATACATGAACATTGTTACCTATTGCAATTTTATCGTTCATCAAAACAAATTTAATTGACTCATAAATGAAAAGACTGTAGACTGTACATATTTTAAGTAGGCCTATACAAAAGACTTTCATTACCAAACACCTTCCTTTTAGAATTAATTGTCTGGATACTACAATAACCTTAGACAAAATATAATAGGCAAGGCCATTGAGAAAATATGTTTTCTTAGGCTAGGCTTATAGTTTATATTTCCTAAAATATCATTTATATTTGCCGTTTTCTAGGCCTACATAAAAGAAGAAAACATACCAGTAGTATCTTGAGATTCAACAAACCTGTAGATCTTTGCGCTTCTGTTTGGGCAGAGATTTATCATCTGTGACTTCGTCAACGAGGTTTCCTATAAAGTCTCCTAACTTAGCTCTGATGACCTCGCTTGTGAGTTCAGTGTCTTCCACAGTGTCATGTAGTAAACAGCCTTGTAGCAAATCAACATTGGACAACCCTGCCTCTTCAGCTAATATATAAGCCACACCTGTCACAGATAAAACTACTAGGTTACTAAAATTACCTAGTAGCACCCATGAATGATACTATTTGCTGGTCCACAAAAGCACTGGACTACTGTCCAATACGGTAGCCTATCAATGATCACAAACACACTTTTAGTCTCTTTAGCAACCAGATACCGTCGAATTGTTTACTCTTCGGTAACCGAACTGTGTGGAAGTGTAAACATTCCATTACAAAAACGTAAAACTCAATAAATAGGCTACAAACTATCCTTAACTAAGTGTTATAAGGATGTTAAAATTTAGTACTTAAGGATAAATATTTGTTTGGCCTAGCCTATTACAAAAAAGGTGCCAGTTTTCTTCAGTTTTCGAAAGGAGTCTAAAGAGGTTTGTGACAGTGAACTGCGAGGTTCATTTACTTACAAATCAAAATTATATAAAGAAGATATAACTTAAGCTCTTCCTGGTCTACCTATTGGGTGATTGATGTAAGGTGTCTTCTCTAAATCCTTCCTCTTCTGCTCCTTATGAGCTTCAGTTGCAAAATTTAAACACCAAATAAACTCTTTCTGAGGAGTATTACGAACAGCATCCCGGACATAGTATTTAAGAGTGAATTTTTCATGGGCATTTTCTTCAGATTGGGTCATTGTGTTGTCTCCTCTAATCCATTTATGAGAATAAACCTTGAGGATGATCTGAAAAAATATGACAACGTAAATCATTATAAGTCTAGACCTAACTTATTTATACTTAAGGTAGGCCTAAATTGAACAATTACTTAGGCCTACAGTCATTCTAAAAGCTCACCAAATCATTTAACTGTCGAGCAATAGATCATAGCTTTAATCTTAGTGAAAATCTGAATACGTTGTATAAGGCGATGAAAGCGATAAGACTTTTATAACCTAAAAGTTTCGTCTATTTAATAATTAGTTAATTATTAATTACTAATAGTTATCGTACATTTAATAATTATTATTATTACAATGAAACCACGAAAAATATTATTACTTACTGAAGAACCCCCTTCAAAATTCAAAGACTACTGGTTTAGTTTTTTACCTGTGTGGTGTAATAATTGTGTAGTGTAAATAAATAAATAATAAAAAAAAAATATAAACATAAACAACAACAAACAACAATCGACAATTTTGAATGTTTGATGTTTGTTGGGTTTTCTGCTTGGTTTTTTTGTCATCTCAGTAAGTTGTAGATTTTAACCATGAAGCGTCAGAGTTAACTTATTATGTCTATTTATATTTAGGAAGAACCAAGGAAGAATGTTAAAAAGATTAAAGAATGTTGTGGTATATGAGACTGTTCATCTAATTAGAAGTGAAAATGGCTATAGACTATCTAAAATGATATTTACTTAAAATCACACCTTGAATTAGTGTAGAGGTGGCTGTGGTACGATCCACTTGCAAACATTGCTCATATTCTTTCAAGATGATGAAAGAATAAGCGGTATTTAGTAAGTAGCAAGTCCCATCAATTTCCTATTTCCATTATGTTTAATGTATTCTTCCCTCAGCCGCAAACACCCAAGAGGTTTGCTGTTGCTTTATGAATGTAAACACGGCCATCTTTAACTACAGGCCGTGGCCTGGTAGAATTGGCAACGTCGCAAGTGGTGTTGTTTAGTGACAGACATCCCATAAGATAACATGGCAGGAAGGTGACATTAGTGACATTAAGCTTATTAATTCGCACTTTATTGATTTAAATTTAAATTTATGAACATCAATTTATTAAAATATTGAAAATAAAACATACAGAATTGAAAACCGAAACAATATTAATTAAAAATCTATAATTGTACATTTTAAGCGAAGTCAATATTGTCATAGTCCAGTAAACAATAGTTCGTAAATACACAAATACCATTAGCTGCTTTCAAACAAAACAGCTGTTACAACACCACTTGCGACGTTGCCACTTCGAAGGCCGCGGCTTGGAGTTAAAGGCGGCCGTGATGTAAGTCTGTAGCATCTGTAGCGTGATGACTCCCACTCCCTTTTTTTTCTAATTTAACACAAAGACTGCGAAACATGAATGATGCAAGGTACACTGAGCTAAAATAATTGGAGGTAGCACTGCCATGGCAGAAGTCTGTCAAAAGCGTGTCGCTGATTTTGTTAGGTTGGTATAGCAGTGAGTTTTCTTATCATAGCAATAACATGGCTTCTTATAACTAGGTTGGTATAGCAGTGAGTTTTCTTATCCAATAACATGGCTTCTTATAACTCCCGCCCCACACAAACATGGCGGCTGGCGACACGCATCTTTGACATTTAGTGCTACCTCCAGTTCAGTGGCAAGGTACAGGTACGCCAAAATCAAGGCGTTTGCGCCGAAATACCATTCACTATATACCACGAAAACTAAATATATTTATGGTACAATGGAAATATACAATAAAAGTTCTACACTTTATTCTCATCTTTTTTAAGGAATTGTTCTTACATTGGTAATGAGTGAATTTGGTTTATTAGTTTTTGCTATTAGTATGAAAATTAAAAGTACAAGCAACATTTACAAATAAATCGTTCTAAAAGTTTTGTTTTATAATAAAGAGAGTGAAATATTATGTAGTAAACCAGTAAACATGAACACACTCTATACCGGTTCATGTTATGGTCAGAAACTTATCATAGGTACCTACTGGATATTGTTTCCAGCAAACTCGAATGGTAAACTCATAAGGGAACGTGTAATCTATGAGGTATTTTAGCGACGCCGACATCCCAGGATGGCCGTATTTAAAGTGAAGCGAAGGTGAACAAACGATGAGGATTGATTGAATAATGTTGAATGAAGGAGATGACAGCTTTGTCACTGACTGACTCAGTCAGTAACAAAAGCTGTCATCTCCTTCATTCAACATGATTCAACACTCATCGTTTGTTCACCAGACTGACTAATTAATAGTGTCGGTTACTGGTTACTGTACTATGCTAATATTAACTGGTCCTTTAGCCAGAATCATATTTTTATTAAATGCACAATAATCAAAGGTCCATGAAGTTGGCGTACCCATATTAAGGCAGATAAATCCCTAACCGACAACCTTAATATTTCTGCGTGAGCTACGTATGCCTAACGTCGTAGATTAAGTAAAAGTGTTACAACAGTACAAAACTAAGTGGATTCGTTATAGGGAATCGTTTTATATTCTATCAATTTCACGAATATCTTAACGTTAACATATACATTGTGTGGTACGCTTTGAATTAGAAGGAGTATACACTTGGCAGTTGTATAATCAAAGGGAATGTATACTTCTTTGAGATTTTTTTAAGCTCAGAGGTTGGAGTCGTATCGTATTTACATCATTTCCTTCTGCTACACTCACACCACTCACACACTCACACTCCCCTCCCTCCATCTCTATGACATCATTGTCATCTTCCAATTTTCCATTCAATGCATTTTCCATCATTGTTGTAGGTTAGATTATCAAAATGAGAAACTAAAGTTTGAAAATCAGTAATATTAGTTTTATATCTTTTAATCTTCTAAAGATCTAAATCATGGTAAGCTTGACTCCAACTGTTTATTTAGACATATGAAATACACAATTTCCTGTTTTTTACATTCATTATCAAATACAATAATTTGAGGTTAAATCTGTTTCAGCATCATCAAATAATGTTTAAACCTTGGTGGCTTAGGCATAATGTTTCTAGTCTACTGCTGAAAACGACTTGCCGGCCCTTGACTAGCTGTTTACCTACTTCTCATAATAAAGTAAGAACAATAAAATGTTTTTAGGAACTTGGATTTAGCCTATGCTTTATTAATTACTAACTTAACTGGTAGGCCTAACTTAGAACTTTGATCTTAAGACTCCATCAACAATCGATATAGAAAGTTTGGATTTTAGTTAGGCCCTAGTATAATAATAACTTAGGCCTATTATTGAATGTAACAATCTATATAGCAAGTTAGAATTTTAGTTAGGCCCTAGTTTAAGTGTAGTTATCGATTTAATTGATCCTTTTTGTTGTTTAGTGATATATTTGGATAGCCTTTCGAAGTTCCGTCAAACTGTTATTTCCTACTCCATCGTAATTACCGTAGCCTACACTTAACTTATTGGATTTAAAATTATCTTTGTTTTCAATCGTAATCTCTGACTACTAATTTTGAGTAAGTAGGGTAAATTAATTATTATAAATTAAGGACTGTTACCTACTTATTTTAAACATTTCACTCACAGGCCTAACTTAGGCCATTCTGAAATTAAGTGGAATTTCCGCCCAAGATTTTTTGTTAACTTTTTTATAAAAGATTATTTATATTTTGTATATTTTTTAAAGTCTAATAACTTAACAAACTACTTAAATACATATACACCATTTTTAGAGGTCAAGAAAGAAAATAATAAAATTTAAGCTGTAGGCCTATTATATAAGTTATATGTAGTAATTATCCATGGGAGTTACCACCATGGAGGTTACATTTTTCTGTTTATTCAACTGTAAAAGTTGTAAATACTAATCTATAGGTTCATATCTCCAGAGCTAAATGTTATCTGAAAGATAAAAAAGTTGTCTCCCAAATAAAAAGTCAAAGTTACAGGGTAGCCACCAGCCATGAAAAGCTTGAATTATGCATGAATTCTATTGACCATGAAACAAGGCATGGATTATGCATGAATTTCTCTATTGGACCATGCATTTTTGAAAATCATGAATAATGATTCAACCAATACCATTAAAATTGCCATATAAGAAATAAATCACATTTAAAGCAGTACAATTGTACGAACATAACAAACTCGAAGAGAACGGTCAGAAACAATTGCTCAGATAATTTGAGGTCAGATGCTGATGTCAACCGAGTCTTCTCAAGGGCAGTAGGCCTAATTATGTGGTTTAAATAACCAATCTAATTTTAGTACATTATTTAATATCAACCGGAATAATATAGGATTTTTCATGCGGGAGATAAAACAGGATTTGCTTGGTAGGGTGAGCGGGATTTTTGTTTTATTCTTGTGGAAAGATTGAGTTATTTTTATTCTTCTCCAACATTTAATTTGGAATAGCTCGATGTGCTGTGTTTTTAATTTTGTTTTAAAAGTATATTAATTTGTAAATTACACAAATACTAGTATTGTATACATACAAAAAGTTGTTTGAATACTAACACACAAACAAACTTGTCTTTTAAACGTAGGTACTAAAACTTATAATTGCGTTGAATTCTTAGGAGCGAGCCAACGATGATTTTTTTTTAATTTTCCAATGAAAACCATGAATTCCGCATGAATTTTTTCTGCCCGCCATGGTGGCATCCCTGAAGTTAAAATTTTAGCATATGACATACCGGTACATTATTTGTTGCTCACATGGATTTTACAAGTATAAAAGGTTACCTTGCTAGAAAGAAAATCCAGTTTATTATGGCAGTTTATGAATGGCCCTCAATCCCTCAATACAATAATTAAATGTAAGCTAGGCCTGTACCTGTACATATGTGTGACGAAAAACTAAATTCTCAAAAATGCATAACTGTACTGTTGTTTGAGTAGAATAAACATTAAAAAATAAAGATAAAACATTATTTGATCTAGGGATTTTTTTCTTTGTAATTTCACTGGTATACACCGAAAGCATATGTTTTACCGCTATGGACACCCGTGCGTCACACTTACGTAACGGTCGGTAGTGAACGTCTTAAACCATCCAACATTTAGATTAGGCCTAACCACTTATAGATTAAAGTGAAGGATGCAAGAAATTTCAATTATTGAAGACATAGATACTTCTGTAAGCTTATCCAATGTAAACACACCTACATTAACTTGTATTAATTGGCCTAAAATGATTGTGCTATTTATTTTCATTTCACATTTAGGTTTCTCTAAATTATCTTCAGTGCCAAAGATGCTACTCAACACCCCGACGTCCAAATTTTCTTTCACAATTTGTGGAAAACATAAAACAAGAAATGGCAAAAAACAAAGAGATGAAGGAGAACTTAAAAAAGTTCAGAGAAGAAGCTCAAAGACTCGAACATTCCGAGGCTTTACAAAAAGCTAGGTGAGTTTTACTAAGCTGATAAAGTTCAGAAATATAATAAATGTTGTTCATTAATATAGGTAGGCCTTAATTAATTGCTAAAAAATCTTTAAACTTACTTTGATGCTTAAAGTAAAATAAGTAAGACAAAAAGATTTTTTTAATACACTAGGCCTATTGAATTTTATATCCCAATTTAAAATGTAAATAAATATTATTTGGACGCTCATTGATCAGTGCAATAAATGGAAAAAATTATCCGTGGGTATATTGAATTTATTAAGCTTGGTCCAAATAGGAAGCTTAGGCTGCAGGTTAGGGCAGTAACTGAAAGTCTGGCGTCAACTATATTTGACGATTGGTAGCGAACGTGTTAAAGTATGTCTACACTTGTGAGAATGTTAAAACTTTTTTTAAGGAAATGGCTTTAACTTTAAAATGTTGCCCTTTTACACCAACGTCTTGTTTTAAAGAATCACTATTTATAACCCAATGAAAAATAGTAACTTGGTTCAGAACCAATTATCCTCAGAATTGAACCAGCAAACCGTGGTTTGATGCTAGCAACTTAAAAGATAAGCCGCTCCCGCTACCCAGTCAGTCATATACCTCTTAAATTCTGAAACTTTTAACTAGAAAACCATGCCATTCTTATGCTTTCATTTTTTATAAAAGGGAAAATAATTACACCCATCGTGCAATCAAACCCGCTTTTACATCTATTCCTTCTATCCACATTACACTTTTTAGTTTGATATGTATGTTATTTGCTTATAAATATGTATGATTCCAGACAAAAATACCAGACGGTTGAGTCCGAAGCTTCCAAAACTTCTGAAGTGCTGCGTGAAAGTTTGGGTTCAATCAAGGATAGAGTTCAAGAAACATTAGATGAAGTTAGCAAAACTGAAATAGCCAAAAAAGCTGGTGAGAAGTTTCAGCTGTTTTCAACTAGTTTTGTAAAAATAATATATTAAGAATTTGTTCTAGTGAGACAAGTGACAACTTCAACCCCATAGACATTCAAAGTCAATTTAAAGAATCTGTATCAGTATCCATAACCAAAACTTAGTATAGGTAGCCTTCAATAGTTCTTTGTCCACTGTAGTTACAACTTTGACTAGTAATACAACTAGACATTCCATCCCCCTAAGTTGTCGCCAGTTTTTTAAATCAAAATCGTCGTAGTTGATGTAAGCGACGGATTGCGCTGATCCAAATCACCAATTTCTGTCGAATACACAGACATTTTAAAAGTTAAACTAATCTAATGACTTATTGTGAGCTATTAGCAACTAACTGTTATAACCCATACAATAAATGTTCAGATACAATAAATACCGGTAAGGTAGAAAATAGAATTTTAGGTCCTAGAGCATTCTGTGACTGTGTCTCATAACCAACTATGTCATTTTTCTTAAATAACAAATTTGCGACAGCTGTTCCATATAGATGGGAGATCTACTTCAGTAGGCTATCCAAAAGTTACAAAAACTTTGAGTTCACCATGTCTGTTTGAGACTTAATGAATGTGAGACCGGGCTATATTGACTTCTCACAAACATCTATCCCTTTTCATTGATCACTAGTAAGATAGGACAAGATATATGCTTCAAAATAAAATAATTAATTTTCCATTGTTGTGGTAGGTTTAATTTATTTGTTTATATAAAACATTCTTGTTTGCCGGTTTTACTCTGAGCGGTTTCAAAAAATCTTCTCTGAGTTATTGTTTCAAGAAATTTGTTTAAATTTTGTTCTTTAAACTTGGTTAAAATATGTTTTTTAAGCCTTAAAACATGAAAATACCCAATTTTATAAAAACTATTGTGTAGAGATGAAATTTACAAAAATAATTTTTACATTTTACATTGAAGCATTGCTGTACAGTTGGGTTACGGAGAAAATTACTAAAACTGTACATTCCCTTGTTATTCCACAGCTTACTTTTATTTTGATCACATCTAGCAAAATTTTTTTAGGCTATCCTATGCTATTTACATTGGTACAAAAAAAATTGTCCCTTCCCCAAAGCAAACCTAAGCACTCGTTAGATCTAGGCTAATGTTAATTAAGTATAAGTAGGGAATATATCTGTTTCTGGAAATATTTGAGTACAAATTCAGTCATACTAATTGAAATTAACCTGTTTTGCAGGTTTGCTGCAGCTGGGTTGTTATTACCAACAATTTTCATTAAACTTATGAAACATACTATAACAAAAGTGAACATTACACAGTTGCCTGAAAGTGAACTATGTTTCAGGGCAAATCAGAGAAGAAATTGGAAAAACAGCAAAGGGAGCTGCTGAGTCAATATCTGAAAGCGGCCAAAAACTGGGGAAATCAGGAGCTTTCCAAACCATAAGTCAAACTGCTGCTGCCGTTAAACAGGAGCTTGATACGACAGGCATGCAGGCTTACGTCTACAGGACTCCAGTGAAGTTGAGGATGAGAAAAGATGTCAGCGAACTGCAAGACAACAAGACTGTGGAAGCCAACACAGATGCCACCGGAGTAGAGCTTCACAAAGATTCTAAATTCTATGAAAGTTGGCAGAATTTCAAAGACAATAACCCTTATGTGAACAAAGTGTTGGACTGGAAGATAAAGTATGACGAGAGTGACAATCCGGTCATAAGGGCAACGAGACTTTTCACCGATAAAGTGACAGATGTTATGGGAGGATTGTTTCAGAAAACAGAGCTTTCGGAAACGTTAACGGAAATATGTAAACTAGATCCTAATTTTGACAAGTCTGAGTTTCTCAGGGAATGTGAGACCGATATAATCCCAAATATTTTAGAAGCTATGATTCGAGGCGAGTTGGACATTTTAAAGGACTGGTGTCACGAAGGAGCGTACAATGTTCTGTCCACTCCTCTCAGGCAAGCAAAACAACTCGGGTACAAATTTGCTTCTAAAGTGTTAGATATCGATAATGTTGACTTGTATATGGGCAAAGTTATGGATCAGGGACCTATCCTGGTGATAACGTTTACCTCTCAGCAAATTCTTTGTGTCAAAGACTCTAAAGGAAATGTCATTGAGGGTGACCCGGATAAAATCCTCAGGGTGAATTATACTTGGGTTCTATGTAGGGACAAGACTGAGTTGAATCCTAAGGCTGCTTGGAGGCTACTCGAGTTTGCTGCACAAAGTTCAGAACAGTTAGTTTAAAATTATCATTGATACAATTATTTTTATATCTTTGTTTTAGAAGATTTCTTGACATCTATCCAAAACATAATTTCTGTTTAGAAAATCTCAGTCTTAGCACCCTGTATTATAATTGTTTATTATATGTAAAAATATATATATAGACTGTTAGTTATAGCTGAGTTGTGATTTGTCCCTAGATTTTACAAGATGAACTGTTTTTTTGCATCGATTAATATTTCTGTTTCAATAAAAATTAGTATTCATTTACTGTTCATTCCCATTTTGTTCTGTAATTTGTATACCTACTTTTTGTTTTATTTATTTTTTTGTAAGGACAGATCAAAACTCTAAATGGTGCCCCTTATAAAAAGGGACACCATTGAGATTCTTGTCATTCGCCTTTATTGGGTCTTGATAATGTTTGTAGTGTCCAATCGAAAAGGATCACCACTTACCGACCTTTATGTATCTACTGTCTTGTGAGTAAACAGTATAAGTGTAAATATATTATTACAAGTGTTTTTCGAAGATTTTAGGTAATTGATTATTGTGTTAATGTTACACTAGAATTCGACTCAAATGTGCAATGTCAGCTTTCTAGTTCTTTGAGGGGAACATCTTAAAATATTTTGAACAATTTGAGCCAGTCTTATACACCTTCCTTTAAAATCAATTGGTATAAAAGATGAATGTGGATGAGTAAATTGCGTAGTGAGTGCATTTTTTGTAATAGAAGAAGTAGTGGAGAATGCTAAGTTAAAGGAAGTTTTGGAATCACTATATAAATAGTAAGAGAATTAGTGGTGAATTCCGCACTATAGTTCATGGAAGATTATGTTTTTTTTTAATACTTAAGGATGACTCACAAGTTTGAAACTGTATTGCTGATGCTGGAAGCAGAATTATCTACAGAGGATGGTAGAACGCTCAAAATGTCGTAACGAACGTCCGAGTCCCGCGCATACTGGATCGGTCAGACGGATCCGCCCACGAAAGTGTCCTGGGGTTCATGTTCCAGACTTTCTATCGGACATCCGGGACATCCCGAAGGTGCGGAACGCCATTGACTGCAGTGGGCGCATGTTCATTTAATTCAATGTTTTTAACTTCTGAAAAACCCCGTACCGTACCGACCCAGTGGACGGGCAGCTTAATGGGGAGTATGTTATTTTATCTATGCCCCAACACAAGGAGACTTATCATCCACAGTTGATGATAGAGAAGTCTACTTGTGTTGGGCCACGGCCGCCTGGCCGCAGGCCACGGCCTTTAAAGTGGCAACACTGGCAACATTGTCAGTAGTGCTGTTACAGATGTTTAGTTTGGTGGCAGCTAATGCGAATTTGTGTATTTCTTAAGAATGTGAAAGCTTTGGTTCCTGGGTTATGAAAATATTGACTCAATTTGAAATATACAGAAACAAGTTTCAAATTTATATTGTTTTGGCTAAGAACAACACCCTAGTTCAGTCCTAATGAATGATCCGACTGAGTGAGAGATCAACATATTTATATGTGTGTGTTTTTAGTTCTCTTTGGTATTGGATTTCTGGAACTGGATTGACCTGACTCGGAATTGACTAATCAAAATGGAATTATGGAATGGGAATAGCGTTTGACCAAAATACTGTGGGTCTGACTTAGGGGAGGTACGATTGAGGCATTAGTTCAAAATTCCTCCGTGAACAGCGCTGTTGTAGAGAGCACTTTGGCAATGAAGGTTTACTAATCGCAAAAATAGTTCTGTTCATAAAATAAAATTATAAATGCCTCAAATTCAATTTTATTATTTTTTAATTATAAAATTAAACTATCATAACCTAACCGAACTAACCAAACTTGCTGATAATGAAATAATATAACAACAGTTTAGTAATAGAAAAAAATAATTCTGTTTAGGCCTATTAAATAAAACTAGAAATTACTCAATTAAAATTTTAATGACTTAATAATAAAATTAAACTGTCATAACCGAACCAAACCAACCAAACTTGCTGATAATAAAAAAATCGTGGACAAAAAGTTAATGTTGTCAGCGGGATTGGAACCCGGGACCTTCGGCATATCAGCCAGGCACGCTGACCACTAAACCACCAAGGCCGACGGCTACAGATGGTTTTGTCACGGTAATGGCGTTCCCTCAGCTAATAAGAAGCCCACAGCTGTCATCGTAGCCTCTTCTATACCTCCCCTGAGTAAATACCAAATACTGTCTGGTTTTCTGTCCGTCTGTCTGCTGTCATTGCTGTCAATCAATGGCGGGCCAATCTCTATTCACTCATGAAATAAAGGGACTCAATTTTTCATTAATGTTTTCTGCTGTTGTAAATTGATTATTAGTAGGCTTTAAAAATTACCTGATTGTTCGTTGCAATTTCAATTTCAATCGAATAGCCTACTAAGTACTAACGCCTATGAACCGGTTTACATTCATTTCTTGACGCAGTTATTGTTGTAGGTTAGCTCACTTATTTTCTTTACCAATATTATCAATTAGGATGTTTGTTTATAATGGTTACAATTTAATTGACAAATAGTTAAATCGCAGCCTGTAACTAATTTTTATGGTTTCACTTAAAACCATCAAAAGCAAAAATAATGTCACTAAAATATTGTTCTACAGGATAAATTGAGTTAGTTCCAAGGCCTAGTTGACCAAACAAGATCAATTTCAGTTATGTCATTTTGCAATAACTTAAACTAGGCTTAGCACTAGCAATTAAATCCACGTTTGCCAAGTAAACTTAATCACTTTTGAAATGTAACTTACCTCATAAGAAAATTGCACTGCCTTTTCAAATTACTTATAGACCTACCGGTACAGAGAACTTAGGCCTATGTGTAATTTATTAGAGTTGAAACAGTCAGGGTTCATTATAGTAGCAAGGCGTAGTTCACAAGTTTCCTTTAATCTCATTCTCACTAAATTAAGCTATTTTTCTTGTAAGTCAAACTTCTTGTCACTTAAGTTAATAGGTCTATCTTGCTAAATAAGTTAAGGCTTGTGTTGTCAAGGATTTGAATGAATTCCTACTAATACTAACTTACTAAGGTAAGTTAACCATCCTAGGCCTAACTTAGTTATGGTTTGTCAAGCTAGAACCCAATTTATAATTGTGGTTGGATTACTCTGGGAAGTCTGTAAGCTAGCCTTCCTGCAGTTGGCCCGGAGCTGCTGCATCTGGTGCCGACCTTTTCTCAATCCCTATTTATTACTCCTAGAAATCCTTGCATACTGTAGACCATTTTAAACAGTTAAGGGGAAGATTTTCTGGGTTCTTTTTTACCTACCGTAAATCAGAAACTGCTGGTTGTTTGTTCAAAGTTAGGGTGAGGTGGAGGGGATCGTGTGGCTTCGGTTCAAACCGCCTAAACTTTGTGAACAGAATATAGTAACCTACTGTATTTAACTTAGTAGATTATACTCAGACTTTGAGTTGTTACCTTTTTAAATTAATTTCAGGTAGAAAGGTGTGTTTAAAGGTTGCCAGATGGCTACCGAAAAGAACAGACGGAGCACTGCTGCGCAGTACTTTATGGATGACGAAGAGGATGAAAGGAATCCTAAAACAACAAGTCAAAGGGTGAGTTTGGCTACTTAAAAAATTGTAACAGGTAATTTTTATGTAGGTTTGAATATCGGGTAATTATTTATCCTATTTACACTGGGATTTGATGTAATTTTGATATGCCTACTTACAGTATTTTTAACGCTGAATCCAAAAATGCAATCAGTTTTGGTCGGAGAGATTCCTAAGTGGCCGTACAGTTATATAATTAATATGAAGCTTCAGTTTTGTTGATTTATTAACATATTTGTGGTATGGACGAGTCCAAGTTCTAATGGCGACTAACACTAAAAGGGGTGGAAGGTTTGTGGAGTGGAAACAGCTGTCAGTTGTTTACATTCTAGATACTAAACAGACAAAACCACAGGCGACGCCATGAGAGCAAAATCAGAGTTACAATATGCAATAACTAGATTTGAAAAAGAAAATGGACTTTGTTGCTGTTTATAAAGTGCTGCGCATTTTTGATATCGTTATTTCATTGTGTTTCACCCACTATTTCAATTGTGCAAAACCAGTCTGGAAGTTGCATAAATTAATGAGTCGGTTCATTATAACCTAACCTTTACCTTCCTAACCTAACCTCACTTCAAAACACTTAATACAGTCACGAATCCACTTAAAACCCGACCTACCTTCCTCACATGCCTAAATAAGAACTGATTATTTGGTTTGGTTTCAAAACGAATTGATTTGATTTCATTCTGCATTAGATCAAGTACAAACAGTTGTTTGCTCTTCTCACTCAGTCCTCACTCTTCACTCAGTACGGACCCGTCCAGACCACGCCATATTACCATCACCTTCAGTACCGCTCAATTATCCTTAGATTTGTAATTCTAACCTTCGTTTTACGGCCACTACGGCCGCTTAGGAATCTCTCCGACAAAAACTGATTGCATTTTTTGATTCAGCGTTAAAAATACTGTAAGTAGACATATAAAAATTACATCATATCCCCGTGTGAATACGGTAAATATTTGCCGAATATCGATATATAGGCCTAGGGATTATAGTTCGGTTCGATATATTAGGTAGGTATCGCATATGTTTACCAACGTAACATCGAATTGAGTTACAATCTGTTTAAATTTACGTTGTTTATGCTTTGTTTTAGTAAACTATTAATAATTTATTTTTGGGTTTCCTTTTTTTTTGCACCACCCGGTATAAGTTAGGCCTCTTGACGTTTAATCCGATAGGCTAATATATCGCAGATTCTCTGCGGAACTCTATCCTAAATATTTAGTATCCTCTACTCCATTGAGGTGGATCTGGTGTGTACCTACCCAAAGGAGGGTTTGAGGTTAGAACTCCCTGTTTGCCCTAGATAAAAATGTTGGAACACATGTAAACTCAAGCAAACAAATTTTCCAACAAAATGGGCAAATAAAATGCCGGTAAGCAGCCTAAGGCTATAGAGCAGTGCAAGAGAACTCTGGAGAGTAATTTCCCTAAGTCACCTTGTATGCGACCATTAACGAACGCTCCTATCCTGGTGATAAATCCAGAGTTGTGCAGGTCTGCCTTTTCGGCCGCAGGTTTTTTTTTAAGATTAAAGGTTCAAAAGGTAAAAAAAACAAAATACCTATAAAATTCTATTATATAAACTGATGTTACTCACAGAATGACTTAAGGCCTATTTTTAATAGGCCCTAAACTAAAATAGAGTCTGAAATTTTTTTGAATTTTGGCAAGTTTCTTAA